TCTCCTAACACTAGAGAAGATCCTTGTAGGAATTTCCTTTCCTAATTAAATTAATAATCATGGAATAAAATTAAATCCTAATTTAGGAAACCTAATTTTACTCCAATTAATAATATAATGTAGGAAATATATTTCCCACTAATCTTCATCGTCTAGAAGACTCCCAAGTCTCTTAATCCCAAGAGAAGATTATTCTCCTAATTAATTAATTAATATGGAATAAAATTAATTCCTATTTAATGGAATTAAATAATAGAACATCCCACTAGAGTAATATTATTGCTCTCCCCATTTAGCCACTATTTTACCAATAAAATCGAGCCTCCATGATTAAATAATATTAATCTGATTGATCGATTTACCTCCCTATGTTTAAGATATAACGTCCGTTGATTAATTAAATTACTGACAAAGTAATTAATCAACTTCTTATTCATTTCCGAAATTAGTACCACTCAGCCTTTAACCATTATGTCAGACAATCGTCTACCTGCAGGGTTTAACATAAGGTTCCTTTCCGAGCTCATTTCGGGGACGTCATCAATCCAGCGCACTGGAACATAGTTACTGTAAATAATCTATAATAGCACATCATATAATTATTCTTACTTACCAAAATACCTCGTATGTCATCCTAACAGAATAGGAATCACTTGGTAAATCAAATAAATAAGAAATAAAAATATATGTCCATTTTATATTATTTTACAGCTTAAGAGAATGCATCAATCACTGAAGGTCTAGGTTACGACAATGGTCAGTGAGTCTCATATCCTTATCCTTCCGTGGTCCTGTTCAACACTTAACATAAGTGCTAGTGTAATCCTTCAGTCAAAGACCAACTGAATCCAAAATACACTACAGTCTTTTTCCAAGTGGGGTCTCACTGCCAGTCTAGACTGTGAACGAATAGTTTAGTCTTATAAGGAACCGATAGGTGATCTTTCTGTTCGAAACTCTTCGAACCACACTACCTCAATATAAGACATGGAGTAAGTATTGCATAAATAAATAAACTGCAAACATATGTACTTTGACCGAAACATGATTGCCAGATCAAAATGGAATTGATAGAAACTGCAAAACACAGCTTTTACAGCATACCTCTAACAATCTCCCACTTATGCTTTATAAGCTCATGTCTAAACAAAAATAACCACAATTTCTTTCAATCTAATTCTCAAAGACTAGTCTCCTATGTTGCCCTAACATCTGACTCCCATTCCTTCTACGTGTCTCGTAAAGTCCACAACATTGAAGATGATGGTGCGCTGAACTTTCTAATCCTTGAGGACAAGGAAAGTCTTGAAGAGGAGGGGAATGATACGGAAGTGGTCATCAACCCAGGCGAGTCCGAAGATGAGGATGGCGACGACCTCAACATATGGCTGGAAAACATGCTGGAGGAGCCATCAATCCCGATATATCGACCTTCATGCAAAAGGGACTGGCCGAAAGAATGTGGTCCACAATCCAAGCTTAAGCCTAAGAAACGCAAGACCAAGCGAGCCCGAAGGAAACGTAAGGCAAAGGCTAAGGAATCATGTTGTTGGTGCAAGCCTTGTACAAGGAAAAGACGAGCAAGGAAGAAGGAGGCTAGAAGGCGGGGTTTGCGATGGGTTGAAGAAGGATGGTGGATACCGACAGAAGATTGTGTTAGGTTGAAAGGTTGGGACCCATGGCCATGGGGCGAGCAGCCGAAGTCGATCAACGGTGGAGGTGCGAGCACAAGTGCACGATAGGCAGGCAAGCCGTGGACGTCGACTGGGACACGCTAGTGTGCGGCGTTAGAAGCGCAGGGCGCGATAGGAGCATGGGCGAGCTGTCTGCGGGTGTGGGCGGTACGCGCAACGAAGCAGGTGCGCGGGGATGCGCAGGAAGTGATCGGAGCCCGCGGGCGATGGAGGCGACACGCAGAGTAGCAGGCGCGGTAGGGTGCGTCGTAGGCGATTGGTGCACGGACGGTAGCCGGGACGCGCGCAAGGTGGACAGCAATGAAGTGACGCGCGCATGGGCACGCGAGTGGAGTCCAGACACGGGCGGAAGCCTACGTCTCGTAGGATTAGGCATGTTGGGCGATGACACGCGAGAGGATGACGGGAACGAGGAAGCGCGTACGTTGGCTGGCGGTTGGGGCGCACATGCGCAAGGCCTAAGCCTTGCGGGCATAGGAGTATCGAATGGCGAGGTGCACGCGCAAGGCGAGGGCGGCGCATGCTTAGGGCAGACGAAGGTGTGCGCGTGCGAAACAGGCGAAGCGCGCAAGTCC